GATTATAATACTATATATATCAGATGAACTTTTAATATAATTAATAATTAAAAATTTTATTAATTATAAATATTTATTAATTTATTAATTATAAATATACACATATAAATATATACATATTATAAAAATATACATATATATTTATTATATAAAAGACATTTATACTAAAAAATGTAATATTAAGACATTGTATTAATAAAATTTTTATTATGATGTTGGCACTAAGATCATAATATTTTTTTTACACGTCTGCGTATATTAAAGTATGAATAATATATTTAAATAAAATGTCTAAAAAATTTTTTGAATTATTTCTTTTATGAAAAATGAGAAAAAGTAAATGTATTAGCTTAATTAAATAGAACAAATTTTGTTAATTTTGTATGATATGTTTTTAATAGTATTTATGTTTATTCACATATAATAAATATTAATAAAGCATATTTAGTAAATATTATATTTCTTATTGTTAGATTTTTACAGTATTTATTTATTAAATTTTATACATCCATTATTGTTATTTATATCTTAATACTGTTAATGCCATTTATATCTCGCTCAAGCGAGAATTAATACTGTTAATATTATTTATATGTCGCTCATGATAATTGAATTTTCTTTCATGTGGTGTAATCTCGATGACGTCGTAATAATTAAATTCTAGATTGCGAGTTTGAAATAAAGTTTTACAAGCTGTTCTACGAACAGTATGCAGTATGTTCAACCGCGTGTTAATTTTCATTTGTTATCCATTATGCCTGATGTACATATTGCTAGCATTAGATCGTATTGTTGTGATATGTTATTCTCGCGCATTTCTCGCGATTCCCGTGTAAATCCAATTTCGTGCAGAACATACAAGCATATTCCTGTGGTAAATCAACGGCCTTTTAACGTGGATTATATACTCGCACATGCTGGAATATATCTAAATACATTGACTTTAAATAATTTAAATTATTTGGAATATTTATATAGAGTAGAATATAAATATTTATATAGTGAAAAAATTCAACCAGTGGCAAATTTACAGCACAATTAATGCTATTTAAAATTTCAAATATCAAAGTATTTAAACTTTGAATATCAAAGTTTGACTTTTAAAGATTCCACACATATACACAATTTTTACTCTCGATTAATTTTTTAAATTAATTATATAAATGCAGAATTATAATATTACCAGAGCTTTTAGTTCCTTAAATAATGAAATAAATATTACTGAAATATTAAAACAAGTATATTAATGAATTTTTAATGAATAAACTACTATTATCACATAAATAAATAGATAAATATTTCTTTTTTTATAACACAATTTTTCATAATAAAATAATATAGTTGATTAACTTAATCAAACTGCGCTATTAAATAAAGGCGGAAAATTTTCCTTGGCAAATTAATAATACTTTGGAATTATTAAAATTTAAATTTTAGTTCTGCAATAAAATATTTATTTGATTATATAATCAATATGTTTTAAAAAATTAACCAATTTTTTAATAAAATTGTCTTATATAATATGTCTAAATTTGCGAAACGAAAATATAGCAAGAAAATGCCTTAAAAATTAAATAATAAAGTATAGAATGTTTTTATAACAAGAAATAGTTTTTGTGAAATATAAGATTTAAAACTGGCTGACTTACTATGCTACGTTTAAATGGCCATTTGCCATAAGTCTCTCTCTCTCTCTCTCCCTCTCTCTCTCTCTCTCTCATACAGTAATATTAGTAATAGCATGCATAAAATATTCACTGATATTCACTAAAATATTCATGCATGCTATATTTCACTTCACAAGTTTTGGAACGCACTATGTATAATATTTTATAGACTATAATGTTAATCAACTCCGTTGTTGTGCGCTTCATATTCAATTTTTATTATAAATATATATTCTTTTTCGTCTACAGATGTAACATATTTCCGTGAGTATGCATATAATACGCAATAAAACGGAGTTAATTAACATTGCAATCAATAAAATATAAATATATCTAAAAATATTTATAACACATTTCATATATGTATTATACAGGAAATATTTAAAAGAAATTATTTTAAATTATTTCCTTACATATTGCGTGAAATAAACAAAGAATTAATTTCAATTAATTAAATTAATTAACAATAAGTTAAACAAAATAAATAAATATTTAATATAGATTAATTTTAGCAATTTTAATACAAATTAAATAATTTAATATGAAATTAAAATAAAAAAAATTAAATTAAATTTATTTACCTCACAGTTACTCTGCCGTCGCTTGTTCCATGGACCATTTTCCTTCTATCTTGTTTATTTTTCAATGTTTCTTCGTGGCACTCACACTCGCGAAAGCACATTTAATTACGATCGCAGATACACTAATCAGCAAAATACGGCTCCCGATATTAATTGTGCACTTTATTATATTATGAAAAAAAATTGTGTTCTATTCAGCACGAAAAAGTTAAATTCATCGCAAATCATTCGCGATGATACCAACAGTATACATTCGTATCTCGAGGCAATTTCTCCGTAATATTACACGAATAGATTTAATGATTAATTAAAATGCAATTGAGATCACTAGAAAATATAATCAAAATTCAACATTGCAATCACTGTATTTCCAACGCACAAATCTCGTGAAATATAATATACGTATTATTATATTTTATTATTGATAAACTGTCAAATATATCACACTTGTTCTCGATCTCGTTACTAGGATCAAATAATCGTCATCATGATATTCTTACGTGTCGCTTATCGTAAGAGTTAATTAATTATACAAGTTGACAATTATTAATTGGAGTAGTAATAGAGAGAATGATTGAAAGATACGAGGGCGTGCGACGATATGGTAGAATGGTTCGCACAGCTGCCTGTTCACCCGAGTCTCGCGCGAATGATTATAAGGTCACATATATAATAACAATGTTATACATCGTAAAAACAAGTGTCAAATATAATAATAATAATTAAACTTGTCATTGCAAAATACATTTAACGTACTGCAAAATAAATGTGAAATATAATTTCGTGTTCTTTAAATTTCAAATATTATACATATATTCTGTGCCTTAAATTTCAAATTAATTCTAGAGAAATTAATATATTAGGCTCTTCATTATTTTAATCTCTCGATTTCGTGATTCGTGTTACTGCGCATTCTGAATCGGAAACTGATTAACAAATTATTTCAAAATGAACAATTTAAAGCACAATGCGAAATATATTTTAATTTCTCTCTCTATCTCTTTCTTTCTGAGTATATTTAAAGAAATAATTGTTGATTTGCAAATTTTTCAATAAAACAATAATTTATACTTTCTTTGTCATATTTGCGACATTTCAATTTTTATTTGAAATGAGGATATACTGCAAAAAATATTGTTTTGATAAATAATCATCTTGGTACGTTTATTTCGCGTCACGATTGTACGAATTAATTAATCGTGGAGCTGAAAATTTCTAATTGTTCGCGACGAATGATCGTGTCTCTGTATTATAATTAGCGATTATCAGGCTGTATATTTAGTTAACTCCTGCTTTAACTGACGTAAGGATATTGCGCTAATGATTATTTGATCAAAGTAATTATGTAAATAGTATGATATATTTGTAAAGTAAGTATGTAAATAGTATGATATATTGACTGTCTGTTAATTAATAATACGTATATTTCGCTGGATTTATATGTTGAAAATGTACTATACTTGTAATATTAAACTTTAATTCTTCTTGGTATTTATCACGATCCTATCTCAAGAGATATTACGATGATATGGATCATTTCGCACCATTACCTTGTCGCTAGAATCTCGCGCGAATGACAACAAATACGTGTATGACATACGAGATCGCATGTAAACAAAAAACAAGCAAACTTTAGGTATAACCTTCTATATATATGTCTATATGTATAAGTGTATATGTATGTATGATGTATGTTTATATATGAATATAATTTCTTCTATAATGAAATTATGTAAATATGCCAAATTCCCAAGCATTTATTAATTCTTAATTAATTTTTAATTAACAAACTTTGATAAAGTATATCAAATTGCGAAAAATAAAAGAAGATATTATCTCCCATAGTAAAAAATTGATTATTTTAATATCTCAAGCTTTTGAGTATGAAATAATTTTTAATTATTTTAACTAACTAGTTTTAAGAAAGTTATATTATTAAAGTGGAAGACATTTTCTTTAATAAAATTTTGATTATCTTAGTTCCACTTGAATTAATTCTCAATTAATAAATGTAAGAAAAATTATATTATATTATATTTTATTTTAATTTTAAGTAGAATACAAAAAGGAGAATAATAAATACAATTATTGTAATTCTTAATAAATGCAATTATTGTAATTTAATTTTTTTTCACTTTTTCACTTTTTTCACTTTTTTTGTATATTTTAATCTTTTTTTGCTGGTGTAATATTTGTCCATTATTAATAAAATAACTATCTCCTTTTTTTCTTGAATATTAGAAACGAAAAATGGTAATGACAAACTAAATAAAAAAACAAAAAAAAGCTTTTTTGACGGACAATGTTCTTTTTTGACTATTAATTATTATAGAATATATAAAGTATCCGTTTCAGATCTATGTTCTGAATTTAATTACGTAATAACATCCTACACTACGATCCTTAGCGTTTTCTTTTTTATCAACTTTGATAAAATAAATATTTTTTGAGATTATAGGAAAAAAAATAAAAATATAACTGTATATTTTACTCTATCTTCAAATTTAATTCCAAAATTTACTAATGAAAAACATAATAAAAATCTTTTATTACATTTTCTAGAAGTAAAATTAATTTACTTAAAAGTAAATTAATTAAAAATTATTTTATAATTTTTTCGATATAGAGATTCTTAAATATAAGAAATATTTTTGCACATAGATATATACAAATTATTTATAGTTCTAAATGTAGTTCTAAATATTATTTAATTATACACATTTTATGTATATTGTGCATATTTTGTTTGCAGATTATTATTGCGTGAGGACACTGCAAAATCTACGAAAAATGCATCACTCGAAAATATCGTTTCATCGTTAGTTCGAAATTTTCCCGGAACAAGATTTTAACATTGCAACTGCATAAAATATCATTAAAATTACGAAAAAAAATAAAAAAACTATTTATAGACTATTTAATTGCTGTTGCGATTAATCGTGACTGAACGGACAATCATCAAAATAGCTCAAAAGAATTCAATACGAAGCACTTTTCTAGAAGCTCGAGTGTAATCGAGTACTCAAGTATTCAAATATCAATCCAAGTAATTCAACAGAGCTCATAAACGCACATTTTCCGAAAATGCGTTCCTATTTAATTTCTTCAGGAAGGCCTTTTTAAATGGAAACTCACAAAATATTTCGAGGAAGTCATTTTGAATAGTGCAATTGAAAAATTTCGAAATTTACGACACCGCTCAGGCAAAATCGTAATCTGACTTTGTAAATGGACCGATTACACGTCGTCCTCATCCGTCATGTGAAAGAAAATACGAGAAAAGACGAAGAAGAAGCCGTCGAACGACGGTAGCCAATCGAGTTAAGTGAGAAAAAGGACAACTTGTCAAAATGAGTTTTAACGAGACGGAAGAAGACTTGGATAATGCCACGAATCTGCCGAGCAAACTCCTCCTCGATACCGGCCAACGTAACACCAGCAAAAACTATGAGGTCGAGTACGTCCTCCTATTAACTTTCAAAGGTTTCATTATGGGCTTCATTATTCTCTGCGCGCTCTTTGGCAATCTATTGGTCATTGTCTCCGTCATGAGACACCGGAAGCTCCGAGTAATCACCAATTACTTCGTGGTCTCGTTGGCTTTGGCGGATATGTTGGTCGCGCTATTCGCCATGACGTTTAACGCGTCCGTGGAGCTTTTTGGACGATGGTTATTTGGATACTTTATGTGCGATGTATGGAACTCGCTGGATGTCTTCTTCAGCACTGTCAGTATTCTTCATTTATGCTGTATCAGTGTCGACAGATATTACGCGATCGTCCAACCGCTGGATTATCCGTTAATCATGACGAACATGAGGCTAGGAACCATGTTGAGCGCCGTGTGGTGTTCTCCAACTATTATGAGCTTCCTACCGATCTTCGCGGGATGGTATACCACAAAGGAGCACCTGGAATACAGGCGGGCCTATCCAGATGTTTGTGTATTTCAAGTCAACAAGCTCTACGCCATCATTAGTTCTAGCATCAGTTTCTGGGTACCGGGAATTATCATGATCGCGATGTATTACAGAATTTATATAGAGGCCGATCGTCAGGAGCGGATGATGTATCGGTGAGTGGCTTTTTCAATATTCTATTTATTAGCGATTATTAATATAAGATATTGGAAAATACTTGCTAATTATTATTGGTGAATACTTGAAATAAATTATTGTAAATTCCGATTAATATTTTCGTATACAGATAGAAAACTAATAAGCAGAGATCTTAACTTTTAATATTTCAATATATTAGATAAGACAGATTATAAACGGATTTTGACTAATATTTTGACAAATATATATTCGTCATTAATCTATTTATAAATAAATTGCAAATGCATCTTGATGTTTAATATTGTGATATATTCGTGAGATGGATGAGATTATAAATACTTTTCATACACTGACACTGAAGGATCTATTCAGTCATGATATTTCTATTATTATTTCCTTATTTTTTGTATGCTTCAAACATTTGTCTTAAATTGAAATTTAGCATATCATTATTAATGATAAAACATCTATAATTTTATCAATGTTAATGATAAAATTTAATTTATATACAAATATTATATGTATTATTTACATATAAATGTTAAATTTACGTGTTATTTCATGATTTCCTAGAAGTTTGATATTAACTAATTTTTTGGTCAACCATGAAGAATGAGACAAATATTTCGATTCATCACTATCTAGAAGATTTTTAGCTTATAAATTAAACTTGTAACTTATCTTCATATTCTCCATTAAATTTTTGTGCTTCTTTTTTTAGTATTTAAATATATATTTATCATATATATATATATATATATATATATATATATATATATCATATTTTTAATATTTAAATTCATAATTTTTAAAATTATAATAGCTGTCATTCTCTATTCCATTATGTAAACAATATAATTTGACAAATAATTCGATAAATTTGAGTAGCCGTTTATCATATAATTCAATTTTTTTTCAAATATTTTTTTAATAAATTATACGTCTAAATAACCTAATGTGTAGAATTAAAGAAGATAGCGAGGCTGTTATTATGTTGTTACAACAGTCAGACGATACGTGGTTGTTAAATCTCGAAAAGGCACTTTCATCTGTAAAAGAAAAGGAAACAGGGAAAGAGAAAAAGAGAAAGAAAGAGCACTCGCCATTAGTTCCTTCCCGAAAGATGCTCCCGAAAGCCTTGTACCGTTCTTGAATGTCCAATTAGGGTAAAAGGCGTGAAAGAAGGTACAGATGAGTGGCCGACCAACAACAAATGTACTTCTCAAGAGGAAGGAAGTACTCCGAAATAATACCTCGCCATTCTTCCCTATATCGTGCAGCTTGCGCTCTATTATAAGCTTCTAAATCTTCTCTTTTCATTCAATAAAAAATTTTAATTATAGAATAATAATAATAACATCCTTTTACAATATAAATATTGTATCTTGTTTTTATCGTGTAACCTCGTTTTCAATTCTATTATACAATATGATCTATATTGCAACGAAGTAAAATAATTTGATTTTAATTAAAAACGCAAGAGACTGTGATTTTTTTACTGATAAAAATAACACCTTTCAGTTTTATTTTTGTCAGAACGATGCTATCTTCGTTTTTTTTCGCGATCGATCGATGAAGCTGTAGACTCGCGACCTTGCGTCGCACAAGTTTTCTGTATTTTCATAAATTACATATCCGCGCAAGGTTGCGTGTTGTGCTCTTTATGCAACGCAGTGCCCGTCGCATTTCGCGTACACACGTCATTCTGCCATACTTTGAATGCACCCAGACACTCCGACGTTCGTTTATGAACGGCAACGGGAAAATGCAAACGTAAAATGTGAAATGGAAATTTCGCATCGCTCTCGAATTTGCTGTGTTGACTATCAAAAGATCCGCTGCAGCTTCGACAAGTATAAAAATATAACTTTATAATCGATATAACATTAAGCAATCTTTAATATTTCATTTGGGTTCACTACATTTTCAATTCAATAAATATTTCAAGAGTTTAACAAATGTTTAATACACTACACTGATGTAAAAGACCACAAATTTATTTCCGCATATATCATATTCATCACGGAAAATTTTAGTTTTGTGATAGCGGAAAAGAGTATGAAATGCCAGAGTTTTAGTTCCACATACATTTGCTTGCAAATGTAAACAGGATGGAATAGAAATTTTTATGTCGCTCTTGAATTTTCCGTTTGCAAACACCAAAGTAGCAACTGGAGTTTCGACGCAACTGCGATTCGATATTTGATTTTAAATAACAAGAAAATTACACAAATTGATTTTACATTCTGCATTTTTGATAAATGTAAATATAGATTAATTCGATCAAAATTCATTTTTATTTTAAATTTAATTTTAAATTAAACTTTATTATTATAAAGAGAGAGATGTGTTTCATAATATATGACAATGAAAACATTGAGAGATTATAATATCACACATGCGGTATTTAATTTTATGTCAGAATTATACTGGGCAACATGACATATTTCAGCACGCTAAATGATTCTGACACTCTCAATCTCATGACGAGTTGTAATCTTCGAAAGTAGGATTGTGTCTTGTTTGCTGACGATTTCAATTTGTATCAGTTTTGGATTTGATGCCAAAACTGATACAAATACTCAGCGTCGCATTCGAAAACGACTATAAAATTGTGTCTCGCTTTTGCGGGAGCGCGTTATAAATTTCACAAAATCGATCGTGACTGACGAGCTGAAAAGTTACATTTGGTTTACGAATGCATGCAACGCGTTACAAGCGGTTTAGAAACACGATGCACGATGCAATATTTTCTAATATAAAACGAAAAAATATTTTAGCAGAATATTTGCACAAATATTCTGCAATATAATTTTAAAGAAAAAATAATATTAAATTTTTATTTTTTATTTCTCTTTTTGAAATAAAATTAAGAAATAGAATTATATAAAAAGCCTTTAATCACAATATTAAATAAAAATAAATTATTATTTGGAATGCAATAAGAAGATTTATTTTATTGCTTTAAATTTTTCTACGAAAAAAAGAGCACCGACATATCTACATACTTCGATTTTAATCTAACGAGTGCGATTTTAGCACATCTAATAGGTTACTGATTGATCGATTCCTAGTTCCGTTCCCGTTTCTAAATTCGCAGGAAAACTCTGATTGCGAGAGGTAAAGCTTTAACGAGCAACCTAACTGCATCTTAAGAATAATTTCGCGTTCCAGTTTACGCTAAAGAGGCTCTTCTTTGTTGAGAAGTGCTTCCACTCTCTCGCGATTGAACTCATCCCGTCTCTGCGCAATCCTCCGATTGTCATTGGCTTTTACGTGATGTCGTGTATATACGGCGTCCAATTATTCGTACAATTAAACTTGAAAGACCGCATCTCTCGGCACGGTAGTATGCTTCGCCGAGTAATTAATGTCGGAAATCAGATGTATAGCGGAAATATGATGAGGCGACGAAATCGCAGCTTCTGATCGTAACACATGGATACTTTTAATCTTTCGCTACATCTTATAAAATTAACTTCATTTTTTTTCCTCTTTCCATTACATATAATTAAAATTATTTTCTTCAATTTAAGATTATTTTTCATTTTATCTAACTTAACTCAGAGTTATTTTTTGATTAATTTAGTGAATATCTTTTTAAATTTGTAATTTAAAATTTAGTTGAAGAATTATTTTTAATTAATCAATTTAGTTAAAAATTTTCTTGAAATTTATTACAGTTAAATTATTACAGTAAAATTCTCTTTAAAAAAATAAATGGTACTTTTTTAAAATATTTTCTTCTTATTTTTTAACTTAATTATTATTTATTCGTTATTTGTCAATAATCATTCAAAAATAATAAATAATTTAATATTCTCATTGATAAACAATTAACTCTAAATTCTAAAAGCATTCTACTCTAAAATATCAGTATTCTTGAAATGTTTAACATACAAATATTGTATGGATACTGAATAATATAAAATATATAAGAGAATATATAAGAGAAAAGTCTTAAATTCCCTCTTTTATGGACCTTTTAGACTTTTTCAATTTTTTTGTAGAATGTCACAATATAATGAATTAAAATTATATTTGCTTTGGCTCATAGAGTCAAGCAGAATATAGAGAATATTTTTGAAATTTTTATATCATCAAACATACAGATAAAGTTGTGTGAGATTTTTATATGCGTAGCGAATACAGAATATATATGTTAGCATGCGTGAACATGCTCAGAAAGGCAATTTAAATGCATGAAGGTGATTGAAGTTATGCAAGAGCCAGCCTTTTACAATGAGATAAAGCAACGAGAAAAATAATTTATCATATACATAATTTATAATACAGAACTCACAATTTTCATAATTCCATTATTAAAAATCAAATTAAATAAGTATATTTTCTACTAAAAAAAGTAGTTAAAAAATGATAATACAAAAGTAAATATTTTTAAATAATAAAATCGATAGAAACAATGTGGAATAATAAAAATATATAAATAATACAAGATATAAATAACATAAGGAAATGAAATATAGTTACGTGAGATAGAATATGAAGAAATAATATTAAAAATACATTAATATGTATTAAAAATTATATATCCAGTAAAATAATGTAAACATCTTCGTATTGTACACCATTCTATCGAGTAAATGATACTATGTATATATGTACTGAATTGCTGAGAGTAGTGGATTTCGCGCCAATCCCGAGATCAGAATTCGGATCAAGATACTCTTGACAGAGTTTCCCGATGCAGTCCTTCTGCGTCGTATCAATGACGCTCCCGTTCACCCTCCATCTTCCTTCTCCGATACCCTTAGGAGACCTTTGATGCGCGAGACAGCGCATCAATATTCCACCATCGATACTCTATTTCTCCGTCAGTCTGTCCGGCGTTCCCCGTGGAACTTGCAGATTTTTTATTCATGCAATCCCCGTAACATGTTGCAAAGTTTATTCATTTTGCGCTGTCAATATCCTCAAAGTCGAAGAGCTTTCGTAAAAATACAAAATAACGAAGGAACTTGCGCCGATCTCAGCATTGACTTGTCGTCTGAGAAAA